CTGTGCTGACCACTGGAATAAGATAGTGACCATAACCTGAAAACACTTGTGCCTTGCACCTGCCACATAATTCTGCAGCAGTAACAAAAACAATGAAACATCACATAACAAATCTGCATCAGTGCCAGAGAAATATAAAGGTTCTAAAAAAAAGCAAGCAAAAAAAAATATGAACCATCCACAAAAATGGGAGTCGCCGTGGCGGAGTGGTCAGACACTCGCCTGCGGATTGGAAGGTCGGGGGTTTGCTCACTGGTGGAGCCGGAATTTCAAAAAAAATTATCTTGGTTCCCAGGTCGACCCAGCCTTAAGTGTTTACTGGGTGCAGTCCCGGGAAGTAAAGGCGATCGGTGTGATGCTAACCACCGCACCCATCTTGTGCCGATTGGTCTATAAAATAAAGGTCTAGCCCTATATGCCTAAAGGTGTGGAAAAGGGTCCTTTACCTTTACTTTTTTTTTTAATTCACAGAAATACAAATGTCCAACAATATTCTATCTTGTTTGTAGATGTCACTGCATCAGATCTCAGCGCTGAAAGGAGACACTGTAATGAACTTCTCATCGGGACCATCACTAGAGGTATCACTGGGTGGCTGCTGCAATGGAGACATGAGAACACATGGGACCGCCCGCCCAATGTGTGCAGTGATTCTTGCTTGTTTTCTCACAAGATGAGCATCAATGGTTTACCTAGCCAATGACTCAAACTAGATTACAGCATTCTATTGTAAACAGCTAAACACTATCAACATCATCTCTGGAAATGACAGCATTAACCATCTAACAAGAAGGGACCAGGCCACCATCTTCAGACTCAGAACACAACATACTACACTCAATAGACATCTAAACAGAATACAGCCACAACACTCCCCAGAGTGCCAGCTATGTAACTACCCCTAAGAAACTGTTGAACACCATCTCTTTGAGTGCCCAAAACTCAGCGAGACTAGAAGAATGCTACTCCCTCCGAGACCAGACAAGTGGAACACCTTGTACGGAGGAAAAGAACAGCTTGTGAAAACATGCAAATTCCACTACATGGCATTGGCCCAAAGGGCGAAAGCTCATTTGCCGCTGGATTGATAACAACAACTGGAAATGTCACTGACCGGCACCGAAAGTCAAAAATATAAATATATATATATATATAGTGATGACAGGCATTGAATCAAGTAAATCAACCTTTCTGTCAACAACAAACTCAATGACTGGCTATTGTTTTATTACTTTTGCCACTGGGTTACACAACATAAATCTTTACTTCAATACAAACAATTTCTCTTTTTGACCAAAACAATGACGTTTACTATTGTTCATGAGTTACAGAATTTTAATGTTTGACGTGTGAGTGGAAAAGGCAACTTTCACAGACAATAACAATAATGTGCATGTATTTTTTTCTTTTTATCACATCAACTTTAAAAATTATCAACAAAAACAACCAAACACGTCTATAAATAAAACACTCCCAAATGCTGGACAATTCTTTACTAGGCTAGCAGTTGTCCACAAACAAGACAAGGTAGTATTCTTCTGCTTACAACTAGAAACGCTGGCCTGCTGGTGATGCTGATTTCTCCTAAAGGATTACTGACTTTCTTCAGAATTTAGCAAGTTAACTTAATAAATTTAACTGAAAACTGAACTTCTAAGTAATCAAGATCTAACAGTCATATGTACCCATAATATAAATTTGGACTTATGATCCTAAGATTGCTCCAAAAATAATGACTTTCTGAAGAATTTAACCCATTTTGTGCCAAATGCCTCACCCTTTGTTGAGTTCTTAACTCTTCATGCTACATCCAGTTCACTAATCCACACAGTTACACTTGTTACTTTAAATCCTCCTATCTCATAGAAATAATTGTTTCAACGCATCTGACATAAGCATTGACTGCTTAAAGAAAAAAATGCCCAGGAGAGAATCAGCTCAATAATATATACCTGACAATGAGAGGGTGAACAAATGAGCTCTGTTTATCTTATGAGATTTAACTTTCATGCAATCATGGATTAATTTTCATGTGCATCTATTATTTACATCGGCTGTGTATGAAGAAGAAGAAAATACATGTTTTCTGTCTCAGTCTGAAGTCAGCCCACGGTTATGTTATGGACTCCACTATCTACTTTCTACAAATCTTTAAGGTATGCACTGGCAACTCACAAGCGAGATTAAAAACAGATTAAGAAAAAGAAGCAGGGTTGGCCGCAGATTTCCCTCCCTGTCTCTTCCCTGGTTGTACACTCCCTCAGAATGATATTCGTCCATCTTTTGATGTCATATGTCATACTCACTTATATAACACCCCCCCCCCCCCCCCCCCCCCCCCCCCACTACCTTCAACTTTTCCCTCCAGCATAGTTTGTATAAAAGTGTTTATGTCTCTTCATGTGGCAAAATTACTTAATATTGTCTTTACTTCTTTTAACAATCAATTCATTCAAAGTCTGTTCAGTATGTGTATAAAAAATGCAACCTATTCTTCTGTGCATCCACATTTCTGGGGCTACATACAATCCAACCTTTCAGTTATAAAATGCCACATACTCCAAAACTGAGAAACACAATCCTTGTGTTGCAACAACTTAATGACATGACACCATAAACTGTATGGAGATCACCTCTCTTCATTCCTGACATGTCTACAAACATAGGTTGTCTAGCCTCTCCTTGTTTCATCTTTAAAGGTGAAAGAATCAGCTCCATTACCCCGGATTTTATACCATATGTTTTTGTGTCTCTCCAAAAACATTAAATTGCTCATAATAGCGTTATTTACAGCCCAAGCTCAATAACTCTAGCAATGACCCCCCCCCCCCCAGAGTTCTAAAAAATTAATGAACCCACAAATTGAAGGACATAGCCGTTAAACAAACCCACAACACTCAGGACAAAATGCAAATGGCTTAATGATTCCAACACAGAGATCCCCAGTTGGATTGAAACTACAAAAAGCCTGGCAATGTTTTGATAATTTCCCCTTTTTTTTAACGAAAGCAGCTACCTGGAAACTAATACACCCCCACTGCTTTAGGGCAGATCTACACTGTAGGAGTTAATGAATTCAGGATGTTTACAGGCTACAGAAGTGTGACATGTTCAACAGCAGAAGTTAACCAGTTTCTCTGCTGCCATCACAAACAACACTGGCTATGGTGGCTGTCCAATCCTCAAGCAGAAAAAAAGAAGTGCTAGTTAGGTCAGTCATGACAGAAGAGGACTATGGAAATGTACAAATGTTGCTTACAACATTAACTGATACAGTGTAACACAGCTGGTAATCTCAATGTTACATAAATAAACAACAAACAAACAAAGGTCAGTTAAACAAATGAGTAAAACCTGCTGGAGGAAAACAAACACTCTTCACACAAATGGAAATTAAAAACATTAGCATGCATTCACATTGGGACACAGGTATATACACAAACACACACACACACACACAGAGATGACAGTTTTCACAATTTCATCTTCTGTAGGTCACAGAAGGCTAACAACATGGATGATATTTCTCACAATATGCCAGTCATATCAGTGAATGTGGTTAAAAATAAAGTTACCCCTCATCTGGCAGCAGAAACTTCACAGATAGTAACAACTATCTAAACCTCACAAACTGATTAAAAGTTTATTAACAAACCAAAAAATAGCTGGAAGTGTGTAGAAAATGTGTTAAATATACTAGATACTGGAAGCTGTGTGAAATTCTATTAGAAGGTTCCTAATTATGAGTCCAATTTACAAGTAGACTGAAACTGTGTGGACTTCTACAAGAAGATTCCCAGTTTATGGATCCAGTTTACAAGAGAACTGTGTGAACTTCTACAAGAAGATTCCCAGTTTATGGATCCAGTTTACAAGAGAACCAAGTCTGTGTGGACTTCTACAAGAAGATTCCCAGTTTATGGATCCAGTTTACAAGAGAACTGTGTGAACTTCTATGTTTATGGATCTGTGTGGTGACCTTCTACAAGAAGATTCCCAGTTTATGGATCCAGTTTACAAGTGACAAGAAGATTCCAAGTCCAGTGTGAACTGTGTGACTTCTACAAGAAGATTCCCAGTTTATGGATCCAGTTTACAAGAGAACCGAGTCTGTGTGAACTTCTACAAGAAGATTCCCAGTTTATGGATCCAGTTTACAAGAGAACTGTGTGAACTTCTACAAGAAGATTCCCAGTTTACGGATCCAGTTTACAAGAGAACCGAGTCTGTGTGAACTTCTACAAGAAGATTATCAGTTTATAGATCCAGGTTACAAGAGAACCGAGTCTGTGTGAACTTCTACAAGAAGATTCCCAGTTTATGGATCCAGTTTACAAGAGAACTGTGTGAACTTCTACAAGAAGATTCCCAGTTTATGGATCCAGTTTAAAAGAGAACCGAGTCTGTGTGAACTTCTACAAGAAGATTATCAGTTTATGGATCCAGTTTACAAGAGAACTGTGTGAACTTCTACAAGAAGATTCCCAGTTTATGGATCCAGTTTACAAGAGAACCGAAGTCTGTGTGGACTTCTACCAGAAGATTCTAGCTCTCGACATCTGATAATACAAGTGATGTGCACATAGAAATTTGTATTGAAATATGGTTTAAATTCCTTGTGTGCATAAAAATACCAGTTTTGCTAACAACTGTTAACAATTCCAGTTTTTTTAACTTCTGATAAAACGCCAGTCTACTGCAAAAAAAAAAAAGTAAACAACACGTGAAAATACCTTGGTGTCAACAGGCTAGAGAAGTACAAGCACACATACACTCTACCATAAGATGGGTGAACTTGGCATCTACAGCGTATACTATATCATTCTAAATACAAGTTGATGGTAATATGATTCAAAAAGAAAATTAAAACTATGAAAAACTGAAGAAACAAAGCAGCATGAACAGAATACAGAAAAACAATGTTCACGCCTTTGCCAGAATGAAAGTACCTTGTCCAGCACCGTAGGGGGCCAGAAATTAATTACACTTCAACATGCACCCTAATCATACTGCTCTCCTTTATTACTTTTTAAGTCTCCACCAATCTTGTAACCCAAAATTTTGTTCCAATCTATTCTAGCTCGCGTCACGGGCAACTGGCGACGCAAAGCCTTGAATGTTGTGTCTGACATTGTTTGGTAGTTCTCTGACAGCGCTCGCTGATACTCCCCTTCAGCTTCAGAAATGAGGTGAACAAAGTTCTTGGCCGTCTCAGATTCATTCTGAAAGAAACAAAACATGAAAATTATCTCCTACATCCTAAGCCAAAATTATGCAGATCATGTCCCTCCGAAAAAGCAAAACGTTTAAAATACGAGACATTTAAAAATCAACACAGCCTAAAATGAGGACCAAGAATTGTCACTGTAAATGTCACCTGTCTGCAACAAGTGGTCTATAAAAATAAGGGTCACAACTGTGATATATCGATAGCACAGGTGTGGGTTTCAGGATCAGGGGACCACAAACCTGCCGCTCCAAATAACTGTCGTAAAAGAGGTGACTAATGCAAAGTCTGCTGAAATCGGAAGTGATGGGTCTAAAGAAGCAGATATAGCGGCTCAGCTGAAAACCTTAACACAATGTACCAACACCTTTTTATGGATGAGCAGAGAAGAGGAAAAAAGAAGTCTTTTACACATTTTTAAAAAGTCAATCTACAAGATTTAAAAAAAAAAACTGATAAGGAAAAATACTTCCATAAATTTGCCAACAACAAATTAAAAATCACAATACATAAATAAAAACAATAACATAAAATGTTCACCAATGGTAAATAAGAAAAATGTGTGTGTATCTGTGTGTCATCATCATCAAGTGTCTTGCCGACTGGCATGGGCAATCATGCCTCTCTTTTATTATATATATATTATACATCTTTTATATTTTCAAAACATGTTTAGAAAGTATCAACAATGAATCACATTACCAAAGGTCTATCAATGTAACATTAATACCTGTGAGATGAGATACCTGAGGCAAGCCACAAACTTAACCATCTGAGACTGAGTGAGAAATGATACTATCAGAAAGACTGCAAACAACACCTAGCACCAGATTCAGTGAGAAGCAGAAGAATAAATATTTTGGTCATCTCATGATAATAGAGCCGTAAAATGTACCAACACACGCACAACATCTGAACACACACACACAAAAAAGATTTAAAATCATCAATCCTTTGTCTTGAGTGCCCTCTTTCTTTCCTATTAAAGAGATCATTCATCCCTATGGAATGACAATGGCCAGTGCCATCCTCTGACCCTGGACCGCACTTTGTTTCCCCAACAAGATGCTTAATAGCAAAAGTGAAGGCTGCAAAGTGGTCAAGTTGTTTGCCTTGTGCTCAGAAGTTTGTGGGTTCATTGATGCATCGTTCAGTTTATGAGCGCACAATTTTCAGAGATAGCAGGAATCGTTGGATGAGTCCATGCTTTGTGCTGCATTCTGCTGCAAGTGCTAGCACACTGACCTACATGGGATAAAACTTGGTGAAATGAAGTCAATTCTCCTGACTTTTAATCGTTTAACGTGAGCCTCCTTCCAGAAAATGTTAGTAACATCGTAGAAACAAAGTAAAAGTACCCAAGAAAAACTCTTCCATACCTGAATTTTGATGCTCTGTTTAATGTCTTTGGAACTGACTAATTGCACGTTTCCATCTTCATAGTAATGAACCTACAAGAAGAAGAAAATAATAGTTTAGTTGTAGGGTGCCAAAAAATCAGTGCAAATTCAACGCCCAATGTTACTGTGGTGACAGTAACAAACAATTGTTCACAAACTGGCAAGATATACACAGAAATAAGCAAAGAAATTGTCTTTCTTAATTCTTCTTCTGCTCTTTACCCCCAATGGGACATAGAACTTAACCAATGAACCAAATCACACCAAGTTGTTATATTCTTTGCAATAGCATACAGCTAAATCCATGATAGTTCTACCTTATTCACCCCTTTCTTAAATTCTCTTCAACAGGGTGTACAGATCACACCAAGTTCGTCACACATTATTAATCTTTTCTCCAATTCTCATCTACAGGTGTACAACTACTCCAAATTTGCCACATTTTATCCATCTTTTCTCCAATTCTCTTGTACATGGTGTAAAGATCACACCAAGTTCGTCACACATTATTCATCTTTTCTCCAATTCTCTTCTACATGGTGTATAGATCACACCAAGTTCGTCACACATTATTCATCTTTTCTCCAATTCTATTGTACATGGTGTATAGATCACACCAAGTTCGTCACACATTATTCATCTTTTCTCCAATTCTCTTGTACATGGTGTATAGATCACACCAAGTTCGTCACACATTATTCATCTTTTCTCCAATTCTCTTGTACATGGTGTATAGATCACACCAAGTTCGTCACACATTATTCATCTTTTCTCCAATTCTCTTGTACATGGTGTATAGATCACACCAAGTTCGTCACACATTATTCATCTTTTCTCCAATTCTCTTGTACATGGTGTATAGATCACACCAAGTTCGTCACACATTATTCATCTTTTCTCCAATTCTCTTGTACATGGTGTATACAGCTCACTCGAATTTCGCCACATCTTATTCACCAATTTCTCTAATTTTCATTTACATCTGTGTTCTCACGCCTCCTTTTATTTCTTTGGTCTGGGGAGTTATGAGTTATGATTTGGGTTATCTTCATCTATAACTAAGGCAAAGCCAGCTAATCTGCAGCTCTTTCATTGCCAACATCACCATCATGCCCTGGGACAAAGATGAAGGTAACTATGCACAGCAGAGTTTTGCAATGACTCGATCCACTGTCTGCGTACAAAGCCCACCTTGACACACCAGATCATGCTAATGGAATCAGCACACACACGTGAGAATAGCCCTGCGATGCTAACCACACGAAAGCTCATGCTACAGCCATCAACTCCATTGTTATGTTGCTAGTTGTCATACAGAAGGCACCATTGGCCTCCTGGACTGTTCTACCTACAGAGCACGCAGTAAATGCCTATGCACTTTTTTGTCCTCGTACAGCGGACCCATCTGTGTAGATCAGTATATCAGCCTCATCTGAATTTTCACATATAAGCGCGTAGACCTCTGCATTGACAGCAACTTGATTCTGCTCCTAACAGCTCCTATCCAGGGAGTCCTAGTTTTAATCAGCTTTCCTCGCTGTGTAACATATTCAGGATGAGGCATTTTTTCAGGACTTTTGATTCACTGGAAACAGTTTTTTTTTTCATTTCCATATCTCTGTATTAGAGATGCTATTACACCATTTAATTTGCTGTATTCAGGTACAAGACAACCCTACCACACTGTACGAAATATTTTTTGTATGACCTAAAAACTTTGTTCAAAAAGAAACACCTTTTTATCACTCTCTGAAACTCTGCCCTAGAGAAACAAAGAAAGAGAAGAAGCAGCCGGCAGGGGGTTTGAAACCTATGACCACCAAGCAGCCAGGAAAACCTGCTAGCTTTTGTGGCCCCTAAGTCACTAACAAGATGGAGTTTTTCAAATATTTTGGGCGAAGGTAAATTTTTTTTTTTATGCGTATGAAGAGAAGTAATCATTAAATACATAAACACAGAAAAAAGAATTAATTTCCTTCCCTCTGACAAAGCAGGGGTTCTGTTGACACAGCCACACAGAGCAAAGTGAGGTCACTATAAATTTATTATGAAATTACAAGGAGCCCCCCCCCCCCCCCCATACTTTATTTCTCCTTAAAAAATATCCCCCCCCCCCACACACACACAAAAAAAACTTATATATATCATACCTACCATGTCTACACATTATACAGTTGCAACCTGTAACACAGCTGTTGCATAGGTATTTTAGCCACTGTCCAAAGAGATCAACCCGTAAAAGTAGACAAAAACCCCAGCTTTCTTGGGGGTGACAGGGTTGCTTGTGGTTGATTAATAATCATTAAATATTCAAACTGGTATATTCCATTTCTGCTGACTTCTAAAATGCCTTTATTCTAAATAAAATTATTGACAAAAACTGACATCCCAGGAGTGCCTGAACTTACAATTTTTAATTCTAATATCAAATCAGTAGTGCTGTATGGAGCGGAAATATGGAGGACAACTAAGGAAATTGCTAATAAACTACAAACATTCATTAACTGATGCCTGCGCAGAACAGAGGGAATTAAATGGTATAATCGAATCACTTATGTGAGGCTTTGGGAGAGAACTAAACAAAATCCAGTGGACCAAGATGGCATTGGATAGGATACACATTGAGTTGTTGTTGTTGTTGTTGTTATTGATCCAGCGACGCATGAGCTTTCGCCCTTTGGGCCAATGCTATGTAGTGGAATTTACATGTTTTCACAAGCTGTTCTTTTCCTCTGTACAAGGTGTTCCACATGTCTGGTCTCGGAGGGAGTAGCATTCTTCTAGTCTCGCTGAGTTTTGGGCACTCAAAGAGATGGTGTTCAACAGTTTCGTAGGGGTAGTTACATAGCTGGCACTCTGGGGAGTGTTGTGGTTGTATTCTGTTTAGGTGTCCATTGAGTGGAGTATGTTGCGTTCTAAGTCTGAATATGGTGGCCTGGTTCTTTCTTGTTGAATGGTTAATGCTTTCATTAGGAATAGGGCTAGCCATGAGTCTGTAAACCTCTCTTCCAGTATCTCCCATGACCTATCTGTTCAGCCAAGTCTCTTTGTTTAAAGCTTTTATAAATGTTTTTGCTGTCTTTAAGGTTGTCGCTGTAGGTGGTTGTTCTTGTATTGCTCCTTTCTTTGCCAGTCTGTCAGCTCTGTCATTACCTGGTGTGCCGGAGTGACCTGGAATCCACTGCATCACTATTCTGATGTTTTATGAGGTAATAAGCTGATCAGCATCCAGGATTATCTTGGCTATGACAGTTCTGCAGCGTTCACTGCCCTCCAGAGCTTGAAGGGCAGACACTGAATCTGTGAAGATGACATTTTGGGCCTTCGAAGGGTAAACATCCATTACAGTCTTTAGGTGGTATACTGCTGTTTCCAGTGCAATTATTTCGGCTTCATAATTTGAACAGAATTCCCCGCATGCATCAAAAATCTCTTCAACAGATCCATCGGGATAACCTATGTAGATTTAGATTCCGTAACCTGCTTTAATGGTAGCTTTAAATTCAGATCCATCAGTATAAACATGTCTCCATTCTTGGGGGTAAGAATCAATGGTCTTTAGTGATGAGTTCATAAGAGCGATTGGGTCGGACTGTTTGGTTTCCTCGCCTACCAATTTAATTCGGACTTCTGGAGCTTTAAAGTGAGCATGTGGTGGTAGGTTTCTTGCGACATTCTGAATGCCTTGACGTCTTTCTGGGAGGTGGTATCTGTCCTGAATTTCATAAACACAGTGTAAAACCGATTTGTGCTTTATTCTTTGTTTGTATTCCTAGTTTTCTACAAGGTGTCTATTAGGATGGTTACGATTCTTTCTAACGCTTCTTTCATAAATTTCTAAAATGGCTTTTTCTTTCCGCAACCCGAGGGGTTCCACATTTGTATGAATTTCACATGCAGCAGTTGGTGTAGACTGCATAGCTCCGCAGATTAATCGGAGGGCATTATTTTTTACTCTGTCAAGAGTCTCTAGGTTAGTTTTGGAGCAGGTTGTAAGCAGTGAGTTGTTGTACTCTATCACAGAGCGAACATATCCAAGATATAAACCCCTCAGAGTTTCCTTGTCTGATCCTCATGATGTCCCTGCAAGTCTCTTTAATAACTGTAACCGCCTCAATGCCTTATTCCTTACGTTTTCAATATGATTCTTGAGGCTGAGCTGCCGGTCAAGTGTGACTCCAAGGTATGTAGGCTGCTCTTCTTTCATCACTTGGTGTTTGTCTAACCTCAGGTTAATATTCTTCCTTGCTACTTGATGGCTTTTGGTAAAGACTGTGTAGACCGTCTTTGCACAGTTAGCCTTGAGTTTCCATCTTTGGCAGTACTCATGCAGTCTTCTAAGGTCTTCATTTAGTCTTTAGGCTCCACTTTCCACATTTTCATGACTCTGCCATATTGCTAGGTCTTCAGCGTTGTGACGAAATGACCTCAGTGGTCTCAGAAGTTATATTGTGTTTGATAATTTCTTATGTTCAGAGAAGGACAAAGAATTATAAGCAATAGACACTGAGCCTAAAATAGTTCTAAAACCACTATAAGGGATTTGAGAATTGTTTAAACTGTGTTTCCTGTCTTAGCCAGACAAAGCAACCTTGCTTTATGTAATGTTACCTAATACTACTGTAGCTATTTCACCTGCCCGTGTCATATAATTATCTCCTGCCCAGTCTGTAGAGGCAAGTAAAGGGGGAGATAACTTCGTATCACACCTGAAGATTAGCTCCCCTGAGTCCGACCGTAGTGTCATAAAAAGTTACATTACACAGACTGAGGGGCTCCTTTTGAACAGGATAGATCAGGGGAATTAAGTGGTCCGGTAGACATTTCTAGACAGGCCGGCGTCCAGCGTCTGAAGTTTTCACACATGATAGTGAAATTCTCAAGAGAACAGATGTTTGGCAATTAGGAATGTTTAATCTTGGTCAAGGTCGTACTGTAGGCCGTTCACTGTGAGTGACAGGCCCATTGATAGCTAGGTTGATCTGCTACGTACCTCAGAGGCGGGGCTTAAGTCATCTCCTTTAGGGTTGGGTAGAACCGAGAAGAGGGTGGAGTTAACCTTGCAGACAAGCCCTGGAATTTCTGTCATAATCGCTGCGACAAGCAACAAACAGGTCGACCTTAGAGGTAATTCTAATGGTTTGATTCTAGTTTGGCGATAGCTGGAAGTTTCCAGGTAAGCATGTACAATTATTTTCAATCTTGTATACATAGGTTAGGGAGTTAGCTAAAATCTATTCTACCTTTTCCTAATTTGTCTACACATTCTGCTTGAAATAGTTCTTTGTGAGTATTCAGTATCTCAGTTAGGGAACTGATAAACTATTTCTATTTCTTGTATGTTTGTGGCACATGTTTTTCAGTGTATGTTTTCATGTTTATAAAATAAGACTTGTATAATGAAATGTAATGAAATTATACTGTTTCAACCATCAACCAAAACATGAGTTTGGACTGTGGGAAATGATGCCCACATATGCAGCCATGCTGTTACATTTTGTGTGCCCACCATGTGCTCACCTAATGTGTTCACCTAAACAGGGGATTTATAACCCCAGGGGAAGAATCATGAGCGTATATTATTCACTGTCACTGAAAGATAATATTCAGGACAGCATGCTCGTATAAAATGTTTGGCGTGTTCAGCACATAACCTGCGCCACATGTTTATGTCAAATCAATGTCAGCAAGTTGGAAGTCTGAGTGATGACGGACAACAGAAAGTCAACTATCATGACATAACCTTAGAGGGAAGGCAGGATATGTGAGACGTCGGTGTGAGACACAAAGACCTTCAGAACAGACTGGAGAGAATGTGGAATATGAGGAGGAGTGATGAGATATAATGTATTATTATATATTGTATTAATTTACACATGTATTCTTAGTGTAAGTCAAGATACTACACGTATGTGTTTGTTTCCATTATTACAGCTCCCATGTGGGTGAGGATACGTCTTTTCTACAAAAAAAGAAATAGAGGGTCATCACGGTCACGAGACTACATTGTGTTAGAACTCGGCCAGCTGGGAAACAGGTGGGAACCAGGTGGAAGGACCAGGAGAACTGGGCGGAAAGATTGGAACAGCTAAGAAGGGGCTCAACACGAGGACTCTCAGAGGTTCCACTTTCTAAAGTTATGTAACATGTATTTATGTAACTAAACACCACCATTATCATTTACTCTAATCTTAGTTGCTCAGTTATCAAGCTGAAGTATCCCATTACCACCATACCATCACTATTGACTAAAAATAGTATAAATCAAAATGATTGCTAGGTTAATAAATCAATTATATGGTCTTATCCTGCATCAGTTTTTGTAATTCCAAGTGTGCCTGCTCTTACATGTTTAATTAAACTGTTAAGATAGAATAGAATTTGGTGGGGGCTCATTAAATAATAATAATTCTGTACCAAGAGAAGGTCGACGGATTGGGTCAACTGCCCTGTCTAGTGAATCATTCAAGATAATAATATATAGACATCTAAAACCCATTTCCTTCTCTTGTGGGTACCAAGTTCAGCTAAAGTTTAATATAAATAACGAGCCAATATGGCTGTTTTCTTGGATATCCAGGACTTTGTCTGAGAGCAACATAGCCCAGATAATAGTTCAGTTAATCTGGTGGAGGGGATGTGTTGAGAGGAAAATCCCTACTCAACATATAAATCATTTATACCCAAATCCAGAGAACCCACGACCCGGGACGTCACACTAAAAAGTGTTGAAATTTCCAAGGGAGTGGGCCGTAACGTCACAAGCGTACAGGGCTTTTTCGGCCTTGATTTGTTCTGGCAGGTCATTGATAAAGATTAGGAACAGTGTACAGCTCAATGATGAGCCTTGTGGCAAGCCCTCCTACAAGACTTCTTTACTAGAATGTGTTTGCACTAAAACTCACAGGAGCACAGAAATAAACAAAGATCACAAAAACACATGGAGAAGGCAGCTAGAGAGTGCGGTTAAAAAGATGAGGACATCGGAGAGCTGCACGCGATAGCAAAGAACAGAGTTTGGATGAGTTGAGTCAAGAATTGACATCGCAGCACTCTGGGAATTTCCATGCATGCTCTGCCTCATCTTCAGCAGCCAGCGCAGAGTTCCAATGCTGATGGTACCTGTCACAATCTGGTTATATGTCTGACTTGCCTTTTCTCTGAGTGTAGTGAGCTGGCCAGACCCTCTGGTTACACCCAGGTGCCTCATTCTCTCCAGGCTATAATAATCTCGTTTCTCTACTGATTCTGTTGCTTGTTCCCAAAGGACCTTGACCACATCTGCCTTGTCATGTATCAATTCACCACCCAGTGGTGCAGATCCAGCCAATCTGTCTGCCTGTTCATTGCCCACTAGCAAAGGACAGAATGACTTGGTGTGAGCTGGTTGAGGTCCTTTAATCCACTGGGGGTTAGAAGGCAGAAGAATGAGTGCCAAATTATGTCAATGTATACCTTAACCCTAGAGCTGTGTTTGCCAAGCCATGGTGTGTTTCCTATTCCACATCAACGGGGAAGTGCAGATGGTATCTTTCCTACATCAAATTACTAGCACACCATTTTTTTTATGCAACATGTCTCTTTGGCAGGGCTATTCAGCTGGCAGCCCACAGGCCAAATTCGGTCCAAGGAGGCCTAGCAAGTGGCTCATGGATCATTGCCAGTTGTATTGTATTGATGAACTTTCTATACTGGGGCTTGGGGCCCTAAGCAAACTTAGTTGAACAGCCATGCTCTTAGAGGTTAGTGAACATGTGTCACAATCTTCAACACACCAGGATTTAATTTCAGGGAATGGGAGGGAGTGTGGGGGTAGTGTGCGTGCATGCGTGTGTGTGTTGGAAAAAGATATCTCTGGTGGCTTTTAGACAAAACTGCACAGTGGAAGAGTTGAGGGCCTCAACACCTAATACTTCTAGAGACAGAAGTGGATACACTATCCACTGCAGCCAACCTCCACTGTGGGAACAGTACAATCTTTTTTTTAATGCAATAAATGAATGTAATCTCCATTCATCTTACCTGAACTCTTAATAAGCCACTGACTTCTGCAGACCCGCCAGATGCAGGAAATGTAACCGACCACTGGCCCCTCCATCTTCCATTCCTGGGAGATAAATAAGCACATACTCAGAAAACAACTGAAATCATCTACTGAAAAACATAAAGTTTAAAAGTTAAAATTCTGTGTGGAATTTTCAAACTGACGTACGGTCAATTAGCCTAAGATAGGTATCATGAAATGTCATGGGAAGTCATACATCTCCACAGATCTCAGCCTTGGACCTAATCTGTGATCACAACTCTTATTTCAACTTCAGGTTTTAGATTTCTTTTCACTCAAACCTAATCTGTGATCACAACTCTTATTTCAACTTCAGGTTTTAGATTAATTTTCACTCAGACCTAATCTGTGATCACAACTCTTTAGCCCCCCCCCCCCCCCCCCCCCCCCCATCATCTTGTTACTTGTCATCTGATTTAGTATTGCTTACGGAAATCTAGACAATAACTGCAATGCAAACAATGTCCTATAGAAAGGTTGAATATTATGCAGTCACATTTGATGAAAGCAAGATTTGATGATCCCAAACATAGCAGCTTTTTCCACTTGGGAAAAAAAGACTTATTTGGCAGATATACCCATGAGAACAACAATGATGAAACCTATCCCTGTACCCTGTGAGTAAGCAAGCGACAAAATACAAATAATGACTTCAGATAGTCTCCTCACAGCTGGAAATAAGTCCACTACCTTTGAAAATGATCAGCTGCTCTTAGTATTATCTTGGAAAATCCATCTGTACAGTTGTGTACACAAGCACACACAGCTGGATCAGCAGCCAGTACTGTTAAGAATAGGGGTGCTGACATCTTTATCATGTATCCAGACAACCACTGCGACATGAAATATATATCCACTGGTATAATTATGTTCCAACTCAACAGCAGAGATCCAAGTACTCGTGCAGACTGCTAAAAAAATACCAGTTCTTAGTCAACTTCACAACAGAAACACTATCCCACTAGAGCAGTCTGCTGAACAGATACACAATAAAACCCATCCAGTCTATCAGAAGGGAACACAATTAGGTCAATGATAACTACCACTTTCTTGATCAGCATGAACAGGCTATCATTCTATGCCTTAGGATAGGGCATAACAAACTGAACAAGCATTTGTACAGGCTTTGTCTGAGCAGTTCACCATAGGGACAGTATGCATATACTGCAAAACATAAAGGGAACTCCTCTCCCCCCTCCCCCATAAGTCAATTGCGTTAGCGCAGTCGACAGGAGACTTGCTTTCAAATCCAGCTGCAACTCGCTGCAGCCACGGCCGGTGTTTGAAACCGGGTGGTTCCCGGGATTCACCCAGCCTCTAAGAAATGGGTACCAGAGTTGAGACTCTGGGGTAAATGGAGAAACGTCGCTGTATCTACAGAGTAACATGCGGACGGCGACACAGGCAGTCAGTTTCTTATCAGCTGTCCGTACTGGTGGCGGAGCACTTATGGTTTATAACCGTGTGCAATGATGGTTCACATCTCCCGACGTTACCTGTTTTTTTTTTTTAATCAGGGAAGTGACCAGAAGAGGAAGCAATGTTTTTATAATTTACTTACTGGCCAGAGCTGTGAAGGGCTTGTTAGAATCAGTGGCTTTTTCAAGTCAGATAATCAGAGCTCACTATAGTTTAATATTGTCAAAATAACAATATGTCAGTGCTGTATTCCAACCAATGAGGTTGAGATTTTAAGTAAAGATATCTACGATCGGTTCAACATGAAGAAAGATTTCTAAAACCATCTATTAACAGCAAGGGGAGGTTTATGTGCAAACATAAAGAAATACATGTAGATAGTTTTTCAACTGTAATTTCAATAAATAAAAGTCATACTATTTCTTAGGGAGTCGCTGTGGTGTAGCGGTTAGATGCTTGCCTGCTGATCAGAGGGTTGTGGGTTCGGGTCCTGATGGAGCCAGACATTTTTCAAAAATGACCTTGGCTCCCAGTTCGACACAGCCTTGAGTGGGTACCGGGTACAGTCCTGGTAAGTAAAGACAGTCGGCGTGGTGCTGACCATATTATCCCCTAAATGCCGATTGCTCTATAAAATATAGGTCTAGCCCTATATGCCCAATACACCTAGAGGTGTGGAAAAGTGTCCATTACACTATTTCTGATGTGAGGACAATCTGGAGTGAGTCAGCTGAGCGCCTATGCTCTATGGGAGGATGGGGCGGGGGAGGGGGGGGGGGGAGGAAGAAGAAGAAGAAAAAGAAGAAGAAGAAAAGAATCCTGCTGTTATTGCATCACACAAACTTACCACCAATTCTTTGGCTCAAAGGCATGACTTTCTATGCACGCAATGATGGTGATGTTACCATCAGCACTACTGCCATAGACAGTGGTGACTCCATATTTATAATGTGCGGAAACATAAGTGGTCAGTGCTGTCTCTATAGCATATCGCCAGGGTTCTGCCTTCTGGTCAATCTCTGCTGGTTGTAAATCCTGAAATGAGAATGATCTCATGACTTCCACAATAAGGAAACTATCACAGTTCATGTCATGTGGCAGTGGTAGCCATAGTAAAGTAAAAGTCCCTTTTCCACGCTGTAAAGGCGTATTCCTTTTAGGTGTAAAAGGCATATAGGGCTAGACCTATATTTTTATAGACCAATCGGCACAAGATGGGTGATGTGGTGAGCATCATGCTGGCCACTTTTACTTCCTGGGACTGCACCCGGTACCCACTTAAGGCTGGATCAAACTGGGAGTTAAAGTCATTTTTGAAGACAGTCCGGCTCCACCAGGGTGTGGTAGTCATGTCTGTTCATAACATTAATTAACATGTATAGTCAGTCATTTCTGATACCAATGCTCTTGCATACCTTGATACCAAACTGATCCCTACCAGAGGTGAGTAAATAAATATTATTATTCTATTTTGATCTCATCATCATCATGTAGCAGGTCTTTTGCAGAACGTCGCTCTCATCACAGTCTGCCTGAAAGAAACTCGGTAATTTTGATCTACTGCTGCTAATTCCTCTGAATTTATATCATCTGCTGGACTCTAGAAAACCCACATAGGCAACCATTTTGATCCTCTTTGTGTCATTCACAAATACTAACCAAACCACTTTTGTGCACTTGTATGTACATGAATCATATCATATATTTGCTATTTGATAAATGTTTCTTTGAGTTGAGTCAAGAATTGACATTACAGCACTCGGGGCATTCCATGTGTACTCTATCGTCATCTTCAGCAGCCAGCGCAGAGTTCCCAATACTGATGGTACCGTTCACAATCTGGTTGTATGTCCGTCTTGCCTTTCTCTGAGTGTAGTGAGCCGGTGCCTTATTCTCTCCAGGCCATAATAATCTTGTTTCTCTACCGATTCCTTTGCTTGGTCCCAAAGGGCCTTGATCACATCTACCTTGTCATGTAAATGTTTCTTTGATATAATAAGAGTGAATTTGTGTATTTTATTATTATGTTTAATAATTAGTCATTCATGCCCCATGTGAAATCTCGAGCGAGTCTGATTTCCAGCATAGTGATATATGATTAATGAAGGAAGCAGGTCTATATTCAGTTTAACCAGCCAATTCTTTGGGGTTTTATAACCCCACAGACTAATCTAATTTAGACTTAGTCCAGAGAATTCTGAGCGCACGGTAGGATTAAAGTTTAAGAAACAGTAACATAATTCCTAATACCTGTGTTTGTTGTTGAAATGTTAGGATTGTACATAAACATGTTTTTGTTTTTTTTAAGATAGTGGTTGTTGCCATGGCAGCAAGTTTTTTTTTTTCATTTAAAGTGTAAAATTATTAATACACATCACTTTAGAAAGTCCCTTATTTGTGACGTCTTGTCTTTTCTGACTTGGAACTTAACTTGCCTCCTGAGTAGTAGTAGCGAAGTCAACCTCTTAACAACAGCATTTTCTATATCTGTTATTTTCTGCCTTGTACAAAACAGAGGAAGAATTGTGTTCTACTATCTTCTGAAGTAGGGAAAAAGTGCATGCTCTAAAACAAAGTAAATCCCTCACCTCACTGCCTATACATGCTAGGATTGTCTACAACAACTATGATTGTCTGCAGCAGCTAGGTTGTTTACAACAACTATTATTGCCTACAAAAGCTATAATTGTCTACAACAGCTTTGATTGTCTACAACAGCTATGATTGCCTACAACAGCTATGATTGCCTACAACAGCTATGATTGTCTACAAAAGCTATGATTGTCTACAACAGCTATGATTGTCTACAACAGCTATGATTGTCTTCAACGGCCATGATTGTCTACAGTAGCTAGGTTTACAAAAGCTATAATTGTCTACAACAGCTATGATTGCCTAAAAGGGCTATGATTGTCTACAACAGCTATGATTGTCTTCAACGGCCATGATTGTCTACAATAGCTAGGTTTACAAAAGCTATAATTGTCAACAACAGCTATAATTGTCTACAACAGCTATGATTGCCTAAAATGGCTATGATTGTCTACAACAGCTATGACTGCCTAAAAGGGCTATGATTGTCTACAACAGCTATGATTGTCTACAAGTTACAATGGCTTTGCAGTCAATATCAGTGCTCATTATTTACATACAAATCTCACAGTAAGAAACAATCACAGAGTTCATGTAGTCTGCTAAACCAGTATGGTAACATTGAAACTCTCACCTGTGCCTCTTTCCGTAGATGATCATAACGGAAAGTTTGTTTGGATCGAGGATCAAGAAATCGATTGTTGCCTAAATCACCATGTTCTGTTATAAGCACCTGCAAAAAACAAAACAATATATTAGCAGATAAGCTTAAAAGACAGACCAACTACCAAAATAAATAACACAGAAAGGTATAGTTTACCGATGACAGGGCAAACTTGCCATATCATTTCCCGCTTTAATAATAGAAGAAAAGCAAAAAGAAATTTCAAGAAGAGCAGCATTAGCGTATATTTATTCAATGTTATTAAACTGAGTAGCGATCTGTTAGATGAGTCGTGGTCTGTTAGCTGAGTCACGATCTGTTAGCTAAGTTCCTATCTGTTATTTGAGTTATGATTTGTTAGGCGAGTCATATCTATTAGCTGAGCCCTTACAGTTGAGATATGATCTTACAGTTGAGATATGATCTTATAGTTGAGATATGATCTCATAGTTGAGATATGATCTTATAGTTGAGATATGATCTCATAGTTGAGATATGATCTTATAGTTGAGATATGATCTCATAGTTGAGATATGATCTTATAGTTGAGATATGATCTCATAGTTGAGATATGATCTTATAGTTGAGATATGATCTCATAGTTGAGATATGATCTTATAGTTGAGATATGATCTTATAGTTGAGATATGATCTTATAGTTGAAATATGATCTTATAGTTGAGATATGATCTTATAGTTGAGATATGATCTTATAGTTGAGATATGATCTCATAGTTGAGATATGATCTTATAGTTGAGATATGATCTTATAGTTGAGTTATGATCTTATAGTTGAGATATAATCTGATAGAAGAGATATGATCTGACAGTTGAGATATGATCTTATAGTTGAGATATGATCTTATAGTTGAGATATGATCTTATAGTTGAGATATGATCTTATAGTTGACATATGAGCCGATAGTTGAGATATAATCTGATAGAAGAGATATGATCTGACAGATGAGATATGATCTGATAGTTGAAATGTGTTGTGCTAGTTGGCACTTTCACAGTATATTTCTCATGAAAAACAATTAGGCCACCTATTCACCTGGTATTCAGAACCATCTATTTTGCATGGAGTAAACTGGTCTTTGTTGTACTGTGCAAATGCCCTGCGGAAGATAATAGAGAAATACAAAATTTTAACTTGGAATGTTAATGAAAATAGCATGTTACTTTAGTTAATTCTCCCTCTTACACTCCAGGCCATCCGGCACTGATAATCATGTCTGTCAATAGCATTCTGTCTTGTGTACTATAAATAATTTCTGACACAGATGTTCCTTCATGAAATAATGCCAAACTGTCTGGTAAGTCCCCTCTTTATCTCCCTCTGCAATCAAGTTTCCTACTGGCATTATGTACTCCAGCCTTTACCTTATCACTATGGGACCAAAAATGAACATTGTCCCCTTCTAAAGCAGGTAATCAGTTCTCTTAGTAAATCTTTTTTGCGGGAAATGATCATGATAATATAATGATAATATATGATAATATAATGTCAATGCCAGGGGTTTTCCCTAGAAAAAAAGGTACCACTACTCACCAAAAAGTGTCCATTACAGTAGCGCAGAAAAATTTATGACTTAAAAAAAAAGGTGGTATTATGTATCATTGTGACAGGGGAAAAGCTCTGGTTACTGTTGTCTTCTATCACAGAAGTGCTGTCTTCTATCACAGACGCATGTGACATTAACACTGTGTGCCTTAATCAATGAGTTTAGCTACTTCTGTTCCAAAGTGTCTATACTCAACTCACTCAAGACTTAGAACTTATGGTTGTAAGCTCAGCTCAGGTGGATAGGGCCCAAAGTTGATAATGCGTGATGTATACTACAAAGATTCTTCTGACCCTTTTGGTTCAGGTGTACACACTTCACTTCACAGTTCCCTGGGTGTACTCCCCCTTGTATGCATTATTTCTTTATAAGATTAATTAATATTCACGATCTTATCAGTAGTAATATGCTCAAACTTTCCTGATACCTCAGCAAAAGAATATGGTCTGCAAGTAACATATCTAATAATATCTAATGATGACACATAACGAGGTAACAACTGCATGGTAGAGTTTAAATAAATTAGTTTGTTGTGTACCCTTTATACAATGTTGCAGAATCAACCCCAGCATTGAGTAGTTTGCCACTGCTTTCTCGATACCACTGTCGAAACCAACACCAGGCAGTCTGCTGTCAAATCTCCTGCAGCTGGAATTGAACCGACTACCCCAGAATTACACAGAACATTCACAACACCTAAGCCACAGGCGCAGATGACTGAGTTAAGCTAATGTGAAAAACTTGGACCAACATTTACACTTACCCAGAAGCACCTTCCTTGAGAAGATTGTCTTCATTGACCAGCATTCGCACATCTACAAATGAAAGAGGGGAAAATTGTACACCAAGGAATCAATATAGGTGTAGGTACTCTGGATGTACCTACCAGTGCTAAGTGTGGATTTTCCCATGCAAAATTGTATCAAAGCAACCCTTAATTATAATTGCTGACAGTGAATTCAGGTGACTCACTGCATGGGAAAATATGTATTCTTGTTGTTTTTTATTATTATTACAAGGGAAAAACAAAGAAATAAATACCAAGATGGTCAAGGTGGGACAAGAACAATGACTTGATCGATGTGTCTAACGACCCTGTAAAAAGGTGAACCACGACTGTTTATGCTTGCTGGCATAGTTTATGAAAGTAATTATTGTTGATGATGGTGTAGACTTTTTTCAAAAATGACCTTGACTCCCAGGTTGACTCAACCTTAAATGGCCGCCAGGTCCTGGGAAGTAAATGCTGCTGGCACTATGCTGACCACATCACCACTGAGTGCCAACTGGTCTGTACAAGACAGGTCTATGCCCAATTGGCCTAAAGGCATGGAAAAAGATCCTTTATGATAGGGATTCACATTTCAGTGAAATGGTTATTATATGTGTATCACTTGTTATACTTTATATTAAATTAGAAAAATTGGAATTAGTCAAGGTGTTGTGGTCTTCTAAAAGCCGTGCTGATAAGTGAAGGTTGCCATTTTTTGTCATCCAACACAATCACCAGAATCATGGACCAGATCAGTGTTCTTGTCTCACCTTTACCCATATAGCCAATTCCCGGTATTTATTTATTTGACTTTCTTGCTCTTTTCCCATCAATCTTGCCAGTCCTCATCAAGTTCTCAAGTTTACTTCTTCATGTTATGAAGACAAATAAACCAGAAAATTCAGTGACAACTGACAAACAGGATGGAAAAAGAACAGCAGAGAGACAAATAACTGGATGACTGGAGTCACCTGGCACTGGTGGAACAACAACAGACCAGATCTGTAATTCTGGTCACCTTGTGAGCTAAAACATAACCAGCTGTGTTTAATGTACATCAATATGCAGAGGGAGATCCTTGAGGCCACAGAAGTATTATTTACTTATAATAAACAGACAGACAATGTTTGGTGAATACATATTTCTGTAACCTATGGTGCCCTTTCAATGGTTTGAGATGAATTCTGTCCATTTTCCATAGCCGTGGATTTCAAGCTGTGCGATAGACATGGCCAATAAAGACTCTTTTTTTTTTTAAGCGGTGACTAGTTGGTCATGTTCTTAGTGCCCTTGTTTGCATAGTGAGGCGCACATGTCATATGGAGGTGACAGGTTCAATTCCCGGCACGGTAACTATAGCTTTCGATTATTATGTTGTCTAGTGTGTCCTTCTATCTTTCTACTTTTTTCTATGAGTGTTGATCAATTCATTGTCTGTCTGTCTATTACATATATAACTTCTTTAATTTAACACATGATGATAAACAAAAGCCCTCGCAACATTTTCTGGTTACCACAAGGCTATAGGCTGGGTCAAAGTATGAGTTCTAGGGTGAATTAATTATAATCTGTCCAATACAGACCTGACCGTTTGAACCTCAAGACTTTCAACAAGCATCCAACCACAGCAGCACTACCACAGCTACCAACAAAAACACAGCTGAAATACTGATCACATTCAAGGGAAAGAATAAAGGGGGTTCTTCTCCTGCATTTTCATCATACAGAAGACTTGTGTGTAACCTTAACAGCTACTGAGATAATTATCTAGCTAATGACAGGGTCACACAAATCTGATAAGTCAACAGGCAGGAGCCAGACAGAAGCAGTGGCAGCAATAAAATACTAGGGAGGGCAACCTAAACAAAATATTTGTAAAGATATGAGGCATTGAGACTTCACTCTGTCACTCTGAGAAGACTAAATCAAGTCACTTCCGGTTGTGACTCAGTCTTGTAAAATGCTGACTGTAGTGACCTGTTTGTGAAAAGTGTATCTGAATTCCAATGGTTCTATGTGTAACTGCAGTTTTCAACAGGCCAGGATGTGAGAAAGCGGTTTCAGCTTTGGGGTGAGAAAAAAAAAAAAACTTTAAATAACTCATGATGAATGATATCATGAGTTTTAAAAAAAAAGATCAAGAAGGAACCTAAGATGATGCAAGGGCAAATTCTCTTGACAATGTGAACTCTGAAAACAAGATTATTAAAACTAGAAAGAAATAGAATCAGAGATTTTTTTTGTGGGGGGGGGGGGGGGGGGGGGGGGGGGAGTTTCGAGAAGGAATGGACTCAAGAACTAGGTTACAACTGACAAGATCAAAGGGAGAAGAGCAAGGGAAAGCAAAGAGATAAATATCTGGATGGCTAGGCCGTCTGGATGAAACAAGACAACAGCAAGGCACATGATGATGATGGTATACATATGATTATTTCAGCAACCCACAATACTTCAGACATTAAGAGACACTTGTGAAAATGTGTGTTCTCTCTCAGATTCAAGAGGTTATTTTTGTGAGAATGTGTGTTCTCTCTCAGATTCAAGACATTATTTTGTGAGAATGTGTGTTCTCTCTCAGATTCAAGACATTATTTTGTGAGAATGTGTGTTCTCTCTCAGATTCAAGACATTATTTTGTGAGAATGTGTGTACTCTTTCAGATTCAAGAAATTATTATGTGAGAATGTGTGTTCTCTCTCAGATTCAAGACATTTATGTGAGCTTTCAATTCACATTTCATTTTACCTAAAAGAACTCTAATCACTTCTACACATCCAAATCAAGACAGGACTCTCATGACCACATCGCCAATACTAAACCCATCACTGACATTAAACACAAGCAGAACACAAAAATTAACCGAGTCTCTTCACTGTGTAAGCAGTTATAATTTCATTCACTGCAAAAACATATCTAGGTCATCAATAGAAAAGTACAGTTCAAATATTACATAGAAACTGTCAAAAATGGATGCCACCAATACTGTAATCCAACAAGACAACCCTTGGAGGCTGCCAAACTGTAGTTTCACAGAAAAATTGGATGTTCAATAACAGAAGGATTAGTCAACTTTAATATCTTTCCTCATCTCCGTTTGCAATCGTCAGTTGCTGAAAGAATGTTAACTAATCCTTGTGTTTGATATAAATGAACTTATATGGCAAACAGAGAAGACAAAAGATATAAAAGGAGCAAAGTACAGGAAACAGGAAGTGAACAATAGTTCTAGGATTAACCCCCCCCCCCCCCCCCCCCCCCTCTTTGTGAATACCGGGGAGGGGGGTTAGACTAGACACTGCCCCTTAACAAGTAGGTCGTAAAAGGTGACTAATTAGGAGTTTTGGAAAAGATATTGTGTTGGGCCAAAAAATTTAGATATCGCAGGCTAGCAATAAACGGCAACATAAGTAGAAGAAAAAAACACATATGCATAGACTGTCAGCGTCTGAGCATAGCACCTAAAACACAGAATTCCATATATGAAAGCATACTTTAAGTATTCATTAAATAAATGAATCAAAAAACCTAAAGCTGTGAAGGCAAACACACACATTTATCAATTTAACATCATTAGAAATATCACAACTTTCACTGACATGTTTACAGCAATAGTTTTTAATACAAGTGCCTTTCCCTTCCCACCTCTCACACACAGACATACAGATAAAATATAAGTAAAGAATACTTGCCATTGAAAACTTCATTGAACTCTCCTGGGGGCGCATGCAAAATAAAGTTGGAGGCAATCCTCACCTAAACAGAAAAAAAGGAAACATCCTTTCACCATACGTAGACAATGTCGATCTATCTAATCACATTAAAAAGTAAAGTAAAGATCCCTTTCCACGCCTTTAGGCGTATCGGGCATATGGGAAGAGCGCCCATATTTTGACGGACCATCAGCACTCAGTGGTAATGTGGTCAGCATTACGCCGGCTGTCTGTACTTTCCCAGGACAGCCCATCCTGGTACCCATTCTAGGCTGGGTCGACCTGCGACATCCCATACCACGATAAAAATCCATGCACCCCGCAGTGGGTTTCCTTCACGGTAAGTTGGATTACGAGTTGGACTCGCAACGTCTTAGATGTAATCACATTAGGAACAGCTTAATACAACTATGTATTAAAATATAAAATAATAAAAAAAAAGAATTGTTAATAAAAGATTTTACATATGTGCCCCCCCCCCCCCCCCCCCCCTGCGTTGTGCCACCAGAGCCCTTACGGGAAGCAAAGAATAGTGACACTGCAGCCTACCAGGCATGTCATAAGAGGCGACTAAGGGTAGGGTTGGGTTTGAGGTTGGCTACCTTATCCTATAAAAAACTAAAGCCACAAAATCAACCAGCAATGGAGAAGTCAAAAAGAGAACCTAGCCAACCAAGATGAGGGGAGAAAGCCGCAATGAGTCTGGATCGTCGATATACCTCCTCTCACCTAGGAAAACCTCCAGAATTGGTACCTGGAATATTAGAACTTTGAACAATGTAGGAAGAACAATGGAAGTAGTGAGGGTAATGAAACATTATATGATTAGTATTTGAGGACTTTGTGAAACTAGATGGATCGGGGTCGGAAAAAGTATTCTAAATTCAGGGGAACTACTCTGTTCTCAGGAAATACAGAGGACAAGTCTCACCACACTGAAAGAGTAGCGCTGAGGCTACAGAAAGAAGCAGAGAGGGCCCTAATAGGCTGGGAAGCTGCAAGTCTTCGCACAATAAGAGCGTCATTTAGAACAGCGATACAGAAGGTGAACATGTAGGTAATACAGTGTTATGCACCAACAGTTAATAAGGATGCATCAGTTAAGGAAAAATTTTACATGCAAATTCAAAATATTATAAATAATGAAAGAAAGGCCAATATAAAAATTTTGATGAGTGATCTGAAAACTGAGATAGGATTGTATAACATAGGTTGTGAAGAGATTATGGGAAAAAATGGGCTAGGAATAATGAATGAAAATGGAGAATTATTCACCAATTTCTGTGCAGGAAACCAGTATGTTATTTAAGGAAGCATTTTCCCCCATAAAAGAATACACAAAGCAACATGGGAATCACCAGATCAAAAGACAACCAATCAAACTGATCGCCCATATATTCACAATTAGATCATCCCTTTATGATGTTAGGGCTTTCAGAGGTGCTGATGTAATTACTGATCATTTTTTGGTAAGTGAAATCAAGTTGAAACTTGAAATATATATAATATGTTATAATCATAGAAACAAGTATAATGTAGGTTATCACAGGGATAAAGAAATAGGGAAACAATTTTTCAGTAACAGCCTCTAATAAGTACCAAGTGTTGCAACAGTTAGCTAAAGGTGTAGGTGTTGTGTGCTGAACTTACTTTGCTATTCAATTGTACCAGAGGTCAGAGGTGTGATTGCCTACGCCAGTGGTCAAGGGGCTAAATGATGATGATGATGACAGAGATGAGTGCAAAAAGTCCATGCTACTTGACGCGTGAGACAGGGCTTTTCCACAAGTAATACAAGACCCAAGCATGACTAGCCGCTAAGTTGAAGGTTAACCAGTCAATGCCGCTTACTCAGTTTTAGTGTGTGGACATGTTTTGTTCCAGTCAGGTGTGTTTTATTCTGTTGGAGCACATGTGAACTGTCTAATGGTTTGGTGGATCGTGAGTTTGACTTTTGGGAATTCTGTTAGTAATGTCTAGAATGGACTTGTGTTGGCCCATGTGTTGTGGGGTCGACAGTGTTGCAGCTATGGGACACGTGGTTGATGCGTTTCTGTAAGGGCATGGAAGGTGCAGGGGAACATTGGATATCAACCAACATGTAGTTGTGATTGGAGGCTGACTGACGAGATGGTTAATCAGCGATACTTCCGTGAGTGACTGGGATAGCAGGCGGGAGGCCTGGGTTTTTTACCAAGAGGTGCATCTATCTTAAGTCCATGGTGATGGGGCCTTTTTGGGCAGCACCCTCAAAGGATTGTCACTGTACATCACACATGTGTATCTACGCGGCCGGGCGTGAGTTTCCCATAGCAGGCACACATAGTTAGCAAGGGTTTTTTGTCCATGTCTAGAGTGACTGCCGATATGAGAATAAATCTTACTGAAATAGTATTCAACTGCACCAATGGATACAGTTTTGCCTATTTAGTGTAAGCTGTTTTGTTATTGAGTATGCCTCTAGCAAAGAAACAAGATGTAGATTTTTGTTCACAAAGAATTATGTTTGGTTAATGATTTACTGATTTGAGAACTGAGATCACAGCATACTAGACATATCCACAGATTCTTCATCTCCCATTCCGACAGCATTCATTTAAAAATCATCATCATCATCATAACCACTCAGGCCGTTAAGCGTCGTGGGAAGGAATAGTTTGCGATGTGCACGCTGGCTGCCACTGGTTATTGTCATGTCGTGAAGGTGTAGAGTGTCTTTAATGTTGTCAATCCATTCATTTATAAATGGTCTTCAGAATGTCTCCCTTTAATTAAGTGAAATGATTCACACACATAAATTAAAGATGAATGCATTCAACAATTTATTAATCTTCAAGTACCAGGGTTCAAATTCCACGTTGTGCTATTTATTTTGTTTGTTTTCTATAAACTTTCTTGTGGTTTTCGGACAACTGTTAGAGAGTCACACTGTGGAAGAGATTGGGGCCTCACCACAAAATATCCCTAAACACAGCAATGTAGCCAACCTCCACTGTGGAAATGGCATGTATTGCTGTTGGCATAGACAGAGCTGACAGACTGGACGATGGCATGTATTGCTGTTGGCATAGACATAGCTGACAGACTGGACGTCTCTTAGTTGTAGATGGCCAGCCTGTGAACTGCACAGACACTGTTCATGCCCATACAGAGATAGGACGATCAGAGGTATCAGAGAACAGGGCACCCACATTGCTGCCAAGTATGACAGTAAGAGGAGTAAAAAATGGCACAACCAGTCATGACAGGCAAACCAGACAGTGTGAAGTCTTGTCAAGCAGCACAGGACTGGCACTATTAACTGTGGAACACGCTGATATATATATATATAATGAAGGGAAAATCTCAGACCTACAGACATGTCGAAAGTGCCATGAAGACAGCCCAACTCATAACTCACATGGCACATAATTTGTGCGTGCATGTATTTGTATGAGAACATAGTTTCAGTCTTTAGTTCAGTGCAAAAATTGAGCTGTGTGAAGGTTTAAAAGCTGCAGAAGTTCAAAGTATCACAAAAGTTTAAGTAACTAAGTCATAAGGCCACTTTTCCTATTGTTTGCCAGAAGACCTTTTAGTCTTCTCCTTCTGCACTTGCGCTTAAAGGGGCAGCTGGCCTGTTGTGTTGTAGTTTATCTGTGTCTTTCAGTATAGCCTTAATTAGTTAGCTCTTACTGGACAATGGGTATATTCTTTTTTCCCCTTAAAAATGAGGCCTCAGGAAACTTCACGGAAAGCACCCTTAAGTAACATCCTAGCAAGCCATAAGACCTTCCAATTCTTAACTGTAGGCATACAAGTTTAGGAACCTATGTTCTAAACCATGACAGTCTTTTTATGTTGTTTATTTTCTAAGGTAAAACTTTTTTTTTCTAAATCTCCATTCTAAGCTAGAAAAGTCTGGAAACCTATGCTCTAAAATCATAAGAATCCTTTGTTAGTGTTCATTTTAAGCCATACAGCTCCTTTAAAACTCTTCATTCTTAACCATTACACTTCTAATAAATCTTTATGCTAAATCAAAAACTCCTTCAACCATCTTTATTCTAAGGCATAAGACTCCTTTCACAATCTTCAATCGAAGTCATAAGGCGCATTTAATAATCTTCATTCTAATATATGACTCCTTTCACAATTTTTAATCTGAGCCCTAAGACTCCTTTAATAATCTTCATTCTAAGATATGACTCCTTTCACGATCTTTAATCTGAGCCATAAGACTCCTTTCATAATCGTTATTATAAGTCCTAATATTCCTTTCACAGTCTTCTTTGTAAACCATAATACTCCTTTCATAATCTTAATTCTAAGCCTGTTTCACAGTCTTCATTCCAAGCCATAAGACTCATTTTCACAATCTTTGATCTAAGATTAACAATCTACCATTAACAATCTTAATTCTGAGCCATAAGACTCCCCAATCCTCATTCTAAACCATAAGCCTTATTTTCATAATCTCCATTTTAACTCTTTAAGGCCCAAACAACGGTGTGAGCGTAGTTTGAGAAGTTCCGTTCTGCCCAAACAACAGTGTCATCGTTAATCGTGTATCTCTTACATTTTGCTTCGCATGCGCGGTTGTACTAGTTTCTAATGTTTGGAGGTACGAATAACCTATTCAGGGAAAGTCACTCTACCGAAATCCTTTTAGTTTCACTTCTTGGACTAAAACACACGTGGATAATTTGAGAGAAAAAAAACATCAATTTTTTTTAACAGTTTATTTTCTAAGTTCGTTTTTGAGTGCACTGAATACCAATGTTCTAACCACAAGAACAGGTCGCAGAATGCGTCTTTCAGCGGCCGAAGCTCTGAAATTGTTTCAGTCAGATGTTTTTAATTGTGAAAATGATAATACAAATTTAGATTTTTCGGAAAGTGATTCAGACAGTGAATTTTCACCAGTGAAGCTGAGCGATCAGCTGTTCAGAATCTAGAGATTCTGATGAGTTGATTACACAGACAATGTCCCATACTACCCTATTTATGGTGTAAGAGAAGAAAAGTGTTCTAAACAAGGAGATAGTACTATACTATGGCTAAGCTACATTGAAATCATCGCAGCTACAGTCTGTAAATAACTGTACAAAGTGAATAGTAAATAGTGTGTGTGTTATGGCTCATTTTTCTGCCATTTTTTCTCTGAAATTTTGCTTAGCACTCGGTGGGAACTAAGAGCCCCTGAGTGATAAACTAACCCAGAAAGTTATCATAACTTTAGAATATGTTAGGACATTGAACAAACTTTGAAGTTTTGTTCTCAAATTTGGATATTTACTATTCTTGTGGCTGCAAAACCATGGTAAGTGAAGAATTTTTTTTGTGAAATGTTGTCTTTGTGAAATTAACACCTGCTGAATTCTTCTTTTCCACTAACTATAACAAAATTAAACAAACACTTATCATCAGATTCAGAATGTACACTCATTTCTCGTTCAAAAAATATATACTGTTATAGGGATTAGAAGTATATTACAGTCTCTACAGCCTTTCTTGTACACCCACCCCTAGCCATTTTTGTAAAGGGAAATTAATGTGGGCCAAGTCTGTCAAAATTCATGGGCCTGAAAGAGTTAAGATACAAGACTTTTTTCACAATCTTTACATAAGTCATAAGACTCCTTTCACAATCTTTACATAAGTCATAAGACTCCTTTCACAATCTTTATTTAAAACTTCATTCTTAACAGTTAGACTCCTTTCACAATCTTCATTCTTTACCATTAAGCTTCCTTCTCCTGCTGTGTGTTATTGAAACTATATAGAAACAGTTGCACTGTGTAATCTGATAGGTTAGAAGACTGCATGACACAAACTGTACAAATAGTATTTCTGTGTAGTTAACTAATGTGTACAACTTTCTTTGTGATGAATACAATCAAGTATCAAAGTATCTAGCTTAATTTTTAAACATTTTATTTTATGGAGTCAAGTGTAGCAATACTACTACTACTACTACCATTTACTTATTCAACAATGATTTATTCTAAATATACTGTTCTACTCGGTTAACTTGTGATGACCGAAAACTTGTGACTCATTTATTTAGACTGCTAACTGTAACTGAATATATAGCACGGTAATAAAGATATTAATATGTACTGCAGTAATACCCATGCAGTAGTTTCCATCACGTCCTCCCCCTTACTTCCACTACGTCCTACTCCTCCCCCAACCACCGGCTGTTTGAGGTTTCTATTAATTTAATACTGATATATATTTACTATTACAGTTTCAATTTTGCTAGCGAAGCACAGATGCATCTGGCATATAATTTTAAACTTAATTTGAACTACTAATCTAAAGAAACTGTAGACAACTCCTACAATAGTGTGTACTGTACGGCCGTTTTAAAAAAAAAATAACAGGTCGGGACTGTTTTTGATTTTTGTAGAGTTCATTTAATAATTTTATAGGGTGGCGATGTTTGTTGTCACAATAATTTTATAGTGAAAATAAACGAGGACAACACTCTACATTCGAATTTAACAGCATAATTGACGCACAAACAAAATGTATTGATGAAATGTTCACAAATAAGAAAAATATTAAATACAGAAACAAGACAAGGCGGAAGTTGCAGGCCATCGCTCTCCTGACTCACACCCCTTCCTGGTTGTTGACGGAACATACAAGAGGACAACAACACGATACCTTTCAGCACCAACCGTTTGAAACTAACATGTATATTGATTACAGATAACCTCCGTCACTGAGCATCAAACAACAAATCAGAGGATCGGGGAAAAAGCTGCATATTTACCTTATCCTGGTCAGATATGGGTTCGTCTTCGTGGGAATCCGCCATTTTGGTCCGTGGTATAATGCCGGATGATCGCTAATCACGCGTTGTGTTACGAGACTTTCTATATCGCCAATAAAGTCGTAGCTTCTAGAGTGAGAAACATTGTCAATTGCAAAAAGGAGGTTTTTTTTAATTATTTTATTTATTTACAGATTATTCGAGTTAAGAACGGACATTACAGCACTCGGGCAATGCGATAAACTACTTCAACAGACAGTGTACAGTTCTAATACTAATGACGAGACTTATGCTAACCCGGCTACACCACCGAAGAGTAAAGATTAGCTAAGTACGTCTATGCCATCGTCGAGGTCAAGATAGGAGTATGTTAAATGAAGAATCAACATAACAGCGTTCGGGATATTCCCATAGGCGCTCCTTTGCCACCTTCAGCAGCAAGCACAGAGTTCCATTTCCGATGGCACCAGCAAGTCTGATTTTAAAACCTCCTCATCTTTCCCTTGAACGTCGGCCATGATCCACTGGGAACTCTTCGCAGCAACATTCTCCTCATACTATGATGATTCATTTGCACTTCCGCAATGATAACTCACTCCTAAAGGACCACTATAACATCTAGCTTGTCATACATCAATTTCCCACCAAGTAGTGCATAAACAGCCAGTCTCTCTGACTGTTCGTTTCCCATCACACACTGCATAACTGGAGATAATATCTAAAGAACACCAACCCACTGGGACCTCTGAAGCGATGCTTGTCACTCTGCGCGGTGCATACCTGTGAGTCCGCTACAATCACGACGTGTAAACTGCTAGCTCTCAAGCTGCAGCGACTGCCTCCACCTCCATTCTCGAACTAGATGCTGTTGTATCGTATGCCAGGCTTGTTGCACTAAGCGATGTCTATTCGCTTTTGCTATAAATCACAATTCACTTCGTCTGCCTCTCAACACAGAGAAACCTGTTTAGATGATTACAACGCCTGGGCTAGTATTGTTTTGAACCTGTTTTTTTTTTTTTTTAAACTACTGATCTCATAGCTGATATAACGAACAGAATCCTCATGTACGAATGTTCTGATGTTGCACGTATTCTGAATTCACCATTTTTTGGTCACACTTACACAAAGACAAAAATCGAAACAAGGCGTGATAACTGGACAGAAATATAAGGGATGACATCAAGAGAATGTTCTCTAGAGAAATTTTCGAGCAGTCTTTTGTTATGGCATGGAGATTGCCAGCACGCGAATTGATGCATATTTTTGGAGGACGTGATAAACTTCGGCAGTCGGAAAGACTATCTATAGAAATAAAAATGTAAATGTTTCTCTGGCAGTAATCTCTGAAGGTTCTTCCTGGCTGCTTTCAAATTTTGACATAACGTTGCATTCGAATACGCTCATGCTTTTTTTAAAATATAAAATTGTCGCACAAAGCACAAACCACTCCCATGTCCACCACTATCTTATTCGCGATATGCATGTCACTTGACATCAGTGACATCACTATTGCCCATGGCGGGGAAGTCACGGTAACCACTTTGTCCACAAGATTAATTTGCTCATAGTAGCAGCAGTGGTAGTAGTAAAATTATAGTAGTAGTTGTGGTTGGACGGTTAGTTACAACGTCGGACTGTCATGCAGGAGACCCGGGTTTGACCCCCCACTTCACCCCTCGCCCCAGTTAGGTAATATAGTTTTTTTTTCCTATCAGAGGCACAATTAAACACCCTAACCCGAACAGTCTGTGGCGACAGCACTAACCACACGGCTTCTCTGGGTCATGAGCCTGTCTACACTGGTCTAGAAAGGTGGTAAAACAAGCAGTAGTGATTTTTTTGTTTTTAGTTATTGTGATCCTTCTGGTAGTGGTTGTAGTAGTACTGGTTCTCGATAGGTGATGCGGTAACTATTACACTGGTCCCATTTACTTCTAATTATAATTCCTGGTACCCATTTTAGTCTAGATGGACACGGATGCCAAGATCAATTTAAAAAATATGTGACGAATTTCAAATCCCTCAGACAGGGATAGAGGAGTAGTCGGCGGATTTGGAGTGTGGGGGAGGATTGGGTGATAACAGAATCTGTTAACTGAAAGAGCTTAAAATATGATTTTACAGGTTTTTAAAATTATTTATATTTTAATAACTCTACCTCATTTAATCTTTTGTGTGTTGTGTGTGTGTGATAAATATTTTTTTTTTAAAGCTCTTTAAAAAGTACAAGTTTTAGCATGTGACAATCAAATAACTGAGTGTTTTTTTCAAGTCTTAATAATGCACTTTAAATGATCACCAATATAAGTACAAAATAAAATTTTGCGTGTTCTAGAGTCGGCAAACCAGTCTATGACTGTGATATTAACTACATTAGACACGTGCGCTTTCTATTTTGTTTTCTTTTCCAGTTAGTCAGACGGGACCACAGCAACGCGTGGCCGGGTACAACTAGTTAATGATAGTGAAAAAGAAGTTTCAGAATCGGGTTTCTGACAACAGCTATACAAGATTTAAACTCTCTCAGGTTGCTGTTCACATTTATGTGAATATTAACATCCGACTTGTAATACTGTTAATCTTTTTCGTAATTATGCACTTCTATTACCGCTGATGCTATTTCAATTGTTTGAGGCGACTTCTGTCTGTATTCACTGGTTGTATGTTCAAGCTGTATGATAGACATTTCTTGTGGGTGTTAACTTTTAAGATTTAGCACTGTTTACATCTTTCGTTAATATGAATGTCTGTATAACCTACGATGCTATCTCAATGGTTTAAGATTAATTCTGACCGTAATCCATAGTTCTCGGTTCAAGTTGTATGACAGACTTGGCCTGTAAAGACAAAGCGAGGAGCTGTCGTCGCCTGGGGGTGGCCTTTTATATTCCCGGCATGGGAATGCTGCCAGATATGATTTTACTATAGTTAGTTGTGACTACCTACTCCTATGCTCCAGCTGAGGCATTCAGTGGAAGTTATATCTGAACAATATTGGACCCCCGCTTATAGACAGGGATACCGCCTTACTACCAAGATACTACTAAGAATCACTTGAGACAACACTTATGATTACGTTCACTTACAAAGCATTAATCTGTACAACGTTTACTATTGATCACGAGCAAGTAGATTTAATTCCGCCCGTATTGTTTTTACCGATAATTGTGTCTGGCCCAAAAGATAAGAAGCGAGCAAACTCACAGAGTAAGGATAACAGACGTGCTTATAACAATTATGGGAAATATATGAGGATACTATTTTAACCGGGGGAGGGGGGATGATTATTCAGGTGCAGTTGACAAGATACGAAATATCATACAATGTGATTAAGACTTCCACGGACAGTAAAACAAACATCCACGGCAGACATATCGTCTCCAACTAAGGAGTTTAGTTTACATAAACTTGATGTTTGTAGTTATCTATTGACTATGCAAAAACAGTCGATTTTCGTAGCAGCTTTTCTAGAGACAGGATAAACAAGGAAACTCTAATGACTTTGGAAATTGTGTAAACCCAATATAAAATTCGGATTGTTAAAATATGATACGACTAGATAACAGGATCAACAATTCTCAAGGATGTCTGTATTGTTAGCAACCGTGCTTAGCAACAGGAAGGCTATATAACGGACAACACTTTGTCCGGGATAGTCAGCGAGCTCCAATCTTAGCGAGTCCTCGGGCGGTTATGGTTGCTGAGATGTTTTTAGCTAGATGTGAAGTCCCGCGAAGAAAAGGGACGATATGTATTCATGTATAATATATTGTTTCGCCCTTTTTATGACATTTTTTGTTATTTAAAGCCCCACCCTGGCTTTTGCCAGGGGCCGCAATATAGGCAGGCAATACATATGGCCAATTGTTTGAACTCGGTTTCTGGGACCTCTCCACGGCGATCCTCATCCACATGGTGGCACTTTGTGTCATCGTGTGTTTTTCGCTTTTGTGATGTCCTAGTGGGGTAGAAAGTCAGCCAGTCAGTTCATGTATAATATAGCTTGTATACTATGCGAGGTCATCGCATACAAACCACCGAAAAGCAGAGGGAGCAAAGCCGAATGAATGAATGAACGAAATAATTAATGAATCAATCAAGAATTGACATCGCTGCACTCTGGATATTCCCACACGTGATTCGCCCCTCCTTCAGTCGCCAACGAACAGCTGACATGCTCCTTGCACTAGTAACAATTAATTAAAGTCCGCCTCTGTTCCACCCCTCCCCTTTTTTTAGTGTTGAATTCAATACATCCGATTGACCCCATAATTAGTTGCCTATCACTGCTTGCTTGTTAAGAGATAGTGGATTCCCCCCCCCCTCCCCCCCCCCCCCCCCGAAATAGGATCAGGGAGCCAATTTGGAGAGTACAAGGAATTGTGGCAGACAGTTTTTGTTTTTTATTTAAAAAAAGTGACGGTACTGCGCACTGTTGCCTACTGCCCAAAGAACAAGCTCTGGAATAGGTTATCTAGCCGCCGCTGTAGTGTAGGGGCGAGACGCTCGTCTGCGGATCCCAAGGTCGTTGGTTCAAATCCGGAGGATGCTAGAATTTTTTTTTTTTTTTTCAAAAATGAATTTGGCTTCTAAGTCGACCTAGCCTTGAATGGACATCAGGTAAAAGTACTTGGTAGTAAATGCGGCTGGTGTGATGCAGGCCACATCATCCACCAAATGCCAATTGGTGTAACCCTATATGCCCATTACGCCTGTAAGCGTGAAAAAGGGTCATTTAGAAGGTGATCTTTGATCAAACTACACTTGCCACGGGCTAAATAATATTGTTGAATTAGGTGACAGTGGATTTTAAACACCATAGCAAGTCAAATTAACGTCACAGTGGTCAAGAAAGAATAATACTGGAACATAAAAAATGAGGTTGGTGGGGATTAAAAAAAAGAGGGGTGGGGGGTCCTCAATGGGCATAAACCTTGTTCAGGTGCTTAATGATAATAACAAAATCATGGATCATACCCGGCACCCCGACATTACGAAGCGCTTTCGCAACGCCAAAGGCACATGCGCCGACGGTGATAGCT